TCCCTTTCCTGGACCTTTCCGAGACCTTTCCTGGACCTTTCCTAGGCACGTGCTCATGGACGACGCCAACGCGCCGTCGCTGCTCTCCATCCCTCTGATCGGCTTCGCGCCGCCCTCCGACCCGACCTACCGCGCGACGCGTCGGCTCGCGCTGACTGCCTCCGCGTCGCTCGCGCACCGCTGCCAGGCAGGCTGAAGACCGTTCCGTAGTCCTTTCCTAGACCCTTCCTAGACCTTTCCTAGACCCTTCCTAGACCTTTCCTAGACCCGTCCTAGACCTTTCCTTTCCTGGACCTTTCCTGGACCCTTCCTAGAGACCTTCCCTTAGACCTTCCCTGGACCTTTCCTGGACCTTTCCTGGACCTTTCCTGGACCCTTCCGCGCACCGCTGCCAGGCAGGGTTCGACCCGTTGCGCGCGCCGCCGGTGGTCAACGCGAGCGAGGCGTACAACGCGACGACAGGCAACCCGTGCTTCTTCGAGGGTGTGCCGCGCCCGCCGCCGCCGGGGCGCCCGCCGAAACCCGCCGCGCCCGCCGAAACCCGCCGCGCCCGCCGCGCCCGCCCTCGCCCGCCCTCGCCCAGCCGTCTCGTCCTTGCTGGCCGCCTCCCCGACGTCCGATATGGTGCGCGCAGAGCCTTTGCGCAGCCGCGGCGAGCCGGCGCTGAGCGGCGTCGGCTCTCTGCACACGGGCCCGGGCAAGCTCTGGCCGATGTCCCTCATCGTGCAGGCCCGCACCGTCGAGCAGCCGCGCAGCCGGCAAGGGCGCGAGGAGGGCTCGACCTTTCCTCGACCTTTCCTCGACCTTTCCTCGACCTTTCCTAGGCAAGGGCGCGAGGAGGTTCGAGGGCTGCTCCGCATGCTGGAGCGCGTCGCGAACACGACGCCCGACGGGCGCATGGTCGAGTCGTACAGCCTCGTTATGAAGCGCTCGCGCAGCAAACAGAGCCGCGGCGGCGGTCGCGCCACCGCGGCGGGTCGCGACACGGCAGTGTTCACGCGCAGGCTCTTCGGCTGGGCCGACGCGATCTTTGTCGAACTGATCGCGTGGCTCGCGCTGGACGTCGGCTTTTTCGAGGGGCGGTCAGTTCTCGCCCAGCCGCTCCAGGATGCAGGAAAATTTCCTAGCGGCGGCAGCGGCGGTCTGAGGCGCCCCAACAGACCCCAGCGGACCCGTTGGCACAAGCTACACGCTACAGCGCGCGGGGGGCACACGCGCGACACCCCCGCCTCACTAGCACGCGGGGGGCACACGCGCGACACCCCCGCCTCACTAGCACGCGGGGGGCACACGCGCGACACCCCCGCCTCACTAGCACTCTCGTGATTCGGGCGTGTGAGTACGGCGGTTTACGGCCGCTCTGCGCTCTCTCTTCTCTCTATAGAGGAGTTTAGGACCGGTTTAGCTTTCGCGTTTCGGGTACACCTTAAAGCCGTACGTAAACCGTGTGTGCATGCGCGTGGTTCTCGTCGTTCAAGCTCTCTGCCCAGAGCTGCCGCGCCACCCACGCCCACCCCTCCCGCCGCGTCCGCCCCGTCCGCGACGCGGACCGACCGCCGCTGCCGCGTTCGCTGGCTGCGGATGCACTACTGCATCCGCAGGAGCCTGCTGCTGGTAGACAAACGTCGTCTGCACCGCCACGTGCGCTCCAGCGGCAGCGATGGGCAGCGCAGGCTGGCGGCAGGTCGGGCACTTTTGGTGTCGCGCTCCAGCACGCGCAGCGCGCAATCCTCACAGTACAGCGCGTGGCCGCACGCGAAGCGGACGGAGCGCGGCGCGTCCCAGCAGAGGTCACACTGGCGCTCCTCCGCTGCTGCCGTCTCCTCCACCACCCTCGCCGCCTCGACCAGCGCCTCCAGCCGCGGCAGTGCATCCGCGAGCGGCATCCGCTTCGGTTTCCTCTCGTACGCCAGCCCGACCACGAGCCGCGTCAGCTCCTCGGCCTGCGCCGCCGACCAGCCCGCGTCGGCCGCCGCGATGCCCTCCGCCGTGTCGGGCTCCTCCAGGGCAGCTAGCACTCGTCGAGGAGGCCGACGGCGGCGCGGCCGGTCAGGGCGACGAGCAGCGTGATGCCGAGAGCGCAAAACCGTCGGTCAGCTGCGACGCCTGCCCGCTCTGCGAGATGATCGGGTCCATGTACCCAAGCTTGCCGAAGAGGCGTTGCGTCGACAGGTGCGAGACTTGCCCGCTGCCGCCGGCCGTCGCCTCTGCCGCGCGCGCGAGGCCCACGTCGGCGAGGTAGCCGTTGCCGCGCTCGTCGAGCACTGACGCGGCGAGGTCGATGCCGACGTACATCTCAAGCGCATCAGTCTCGCGCGCCTCGAAGATCCAATTCGCGTCCCCGCACGGGACATCGAGCATCGTAGTGATGTTCTGCGCTCGAATCAGCTTTGCAAGAAGCAGCAGCGAATTGTGAGTCTGGAAGCCAATCTTGGAACCCACGCCAGACATGGAGTCACGCCCGGTGCGCAAGTCCGCACCGTTGCCCATGAAGCGCTCGCCCCGGCCGTAAGTATAGTAGTGTTCGATCGGAAAGAGCCCCGTGCGTAGGCGTGTCCATTTGCCAGTCGTGTACACATGGTCAAATGCTGCGGCCGCCTCTGGGTTGGGCGTGCATTGCTCCGGTTCTGTGAGCGTGTACACTTGCCGCTGCCCTGCAGAAGCCTGCAAGGCCACCGATGGCCTTGGCTTCTCGCCATGCATGTAGCTGTATCCGGCCCATTCACTGTATGGCGTCACGCCCTGAAGACAGTCCCGTTGCATCGTCGGAATCTTGCACCAGTCGCGCCCAAATGGGCTGAGGTAATGCTCGCCGAGATGACCCCCAGGTACGACTGCAGTGCAGCTGCTGCAGCCCGGTGGTGTCTGAGGCTTCAAGGGCTCAGGTGCGCTGATTGGCGATCTGGGATATAATCGAGAACTGTTTGCTCGAGGCTGCCTGCTGGCTCGAGGCTGATGCTTGGTGGCTCCCAGACGCTGGGTAGTTTGACGCAGGGTGGCTTGATGCAGGGTGGCTTGGCGCCGGTTGGCTCGACTTCCCACAAGCTTGCTTCCTCGACTGTGCTGGCTTCCTTGCAACGCATCATCACGGGTGATCGTGTCAGCCAAGGCCAACATCAATGCCAGCACTGCCGTGCGCCATGCCATGTTGTGGTAGTGTCCCCTCCGCGCGCAACATAACATAACACAACAACAACAACAACAACACCATAACATAACAGCGAGCCCCTGGGCCCGCCCGCTTCGGCACCCACCGTCGCGTCCCCAAAATGACACAAAACCCAACCCCCCCACCCCCCCCACCCCCCCCCCCCCCACCTCTACGCAAGTTGTTAGCATGTAATGTCACAACGGAGGGGCGTGTGGGTTTGGATCTCTGTGCGCTCTCTCCTCGTATGCGGCCCAGGTCCACGGGCTGAGCAGGTTCGGATTCAGCATTCGCTACCTGTTAGACCGTACCGAGACAAGCGGTAGGTCGTGGGCGGTTGACCGGACCGTCCTCCGGGACCGCAAGACTCTTGCCCATGAATTCGATGGCCTCCACCCCAAACAGATATTTCAATCGGCGGAGATGCGGGTGGCCTCGCCGGCTGGGCCTCGCTCGGGGGTGGCCGTGACTGTAAAGGCACATCTCTTCTTTTATTTATACCAAAAGGAGGGCTACACGCGGCCCTCTACGCTGGGTGCCGGCAAGGGGCCAAGCTACGCCAGAAGGACGTCATTAGTACGAAACCTCAGAAGGCCAGGGGCGTCGAGAAGAACATTCCCTCGAGAGGACAAATAAAGGCGACGCACCCCCTCCTTGCGCAGTATCTCCCGCTATGTGTCGCCAATTGGGGCACGCTATCCTGTGCAGTCAGGGCAAGCGGGGGCGGGGGGCACTCCCCCTAGTCTGATACTGGGGTGTGACTGTCTCCAGTCTCGGAGGGGGGCAAGAAGGTAAGAATATCTAATTTTTTGGGAAGAGGTTCCTCCTTTCCGCTCCCCCCCCGCAAGGTGCGAGACACACAAATCGACAAAATACCCAGGCGATCGCAGGGTAATTTCCAGGTATACACGGGTTTTCCGCAAAATTCCCGGCATTTTGCCGATTTGGCCTAAAATTTGGCTGATTTTGGGCCCAACCCAGCCTCAGACTCGGCTCAGAGCCCAAAATTTGACGTTTTCCACGGAGTTTTCCGAAAATAGAGAACAGAGAGGGTGTTGTAGAAAAAAAGGAAAGGAAAACAGACGGGGTGCGAGAGGAAAACCTCGGACAGCCCAAATCAGGAGGGCTGGGAGCCGCGGCACTAGACCGCGCCGCCAGCGGGGCGAGAGCACCAGCCGACAACCTGCCGACATGGCAGTTGCGATGGCGCTTTCACACACACACACACACACACACACACACACACACACACACACACACACACACACACACACACACACACACACACACACACACACACACACACACACACACACACACACACACACACACACACACACACACACACACACACACACACACATGGGGGGTGCGAGTTCGCAGGGAAGGGGCCAAGTTAGTCCACATCTCTTCTTTCTGAGTTGTGTGTGTCTCGCGCCTTGCGGGGGGGGGAGCGGAAAGGAGGACCCTCTTCCCAAGAGCACCACTCTTGGAGCGCCGCCACTACCACCCAGAGCGCTGCAAGCAGCGCCGGGCAATGACGGCTTACCGCCCACCCAGCCCCCCCTCGGCACACCCCGGCAGCCAATGTGTGACGGCTCGTACCCGCTAAGCCATCCCGCAAGCGGGATGGCCCGCCACTCGAACCCGCAAGCGGGCGTACGAGCCGCGAGCGGCTCGCACTCGTGACACGCAGGCGTCCGACAGACGGCGCCGGGGCTAGGCGACCGAAGAGGGACTACGGCAAGAACCGCACACCACCCGCTGACGAGCGCTCGCGGAACTGGTCCGCGGCGCCCGCCAGGGGCGTGCGCGAGACAGGGCTCGGAGCCCTTTTCTGTGAGCAGGGATTCCCTCCCGGCGGGGGTTGTGGCGGAGAGCCGGCATGGGAATCGCCGGACCCCACCCAGGGGGTGCCCCTGCCAGGCGCCGCAAGCGGTGCCCGACCGGGGCGGGTGCCCCCACCCCGAGGGGTGGGGGCGGGGTCGGGGCCAAAGTGATTGTGCCTGTGTCGAAGAGGGCAAAGACATCCCCATGGCATGTCGTTGCTGCTGCTGCTCAGCTCCAGCGGGGCGTCTGCAGCGCCCTCGGAGGTCCACCGCCTGACACCTCTTCGGAATGCGCTGACACGCATCAAAGCCAGAAACGCTTACCTCTGCACCACCAATACGGACACGAGCTCGTGGAACTTGGGCGGCACGCCGCGCTTCCAGGAGAGGCCTTTGAAGGACGGTGCCGTGATGTCGCTGCTCGCTCCCGTGTACGACTGCCCGTGGACGCTTGAGCGCACCAATTTCGTCTCTGAGTTCAACTTCGATGGGGGCAAGTGGACATGCGGCGTCAGCGAGATGCGGCAGAGTGGACGACCGTGCGTCGTGTATTCATTCGGCTCGAATGCCGACTCCGCATTCGAGGATGGAGTGCGCCGCACAAACCCCGCATGCGAGATCCACATCTTTGACCCGACTTCAAAGCCGCCGCCACGCTTCCGCGAGAAGGGGTACTCTTTCCACGAGATGGGCTTGTGCAGTGAGCGGACGAAAGCAAACGGCGGATCGACGATGAAGTGCGACACCCTCAGCAGCATCATGCGCACGCTCAACCACACGCACGTCGACATACTCAAAGCTGACGTGGAGGGCGAGGAGTACTCGTTCTTTACGAGCGAGCCGTGGCACAGGCATGCGTCGGCCGTCGGCCAGATACTCCTCGAAGTGCACCTGTTCATGAGAAGCGCCATGCGGCTGCCCGCCTTCCTTGGATCTATCCGTCCGCTCGAGCGAGCTGGCTTCTTCGTCCAGACACTCGAGCCCGTTTCGGCCTTGGGGACCGCATACGAGATGAGCTTCCTTAATGTCAACTGGTTCCCAGTGGATCGCAAGCCGCACATCAGGCCTAGGCTGTACGTGCCTTCGATGTATCCCGCGGATGCGCCTTGCCCACTCTACCCGCCCGTGGGCTCGCCGGGCGAGGAAATCTTCTGCGGGTATCCGGCGGGGCGGACAAACTACTCTTGTGACTGCGGTGTGCAGTTGGATGGCACCGATGAGTGCGCCGTGTCGCTCGTAGAGCAGCGCAGCAGGTCACCATGCGCGTATGGAGTCAGCTACGGCTGCTACCCTGGCGAGCCCACGCGAATCTGGACGCGTGGCTGCCGTGGGAAGTTTCGATGCCCCGTGGGCACACCGATCGCACCGATACCGATCGCAGGCCGTGAAGAGCCGTCCGTCCACCTTCCTGCAGACGTTCCGGCTCTCTCGACAAGGTAGTTCGAAAAATGGTAAATGTACTGTGTCTTGTACGGTACTTTAGTACTCGGTATACTGTTGAAGGATAGTAGTGTGGCAGTGTGGTCGGAGGGCGCCCGGGTCGCCCCGGAGCGGCCCCGCGGGCGGGGAGGTGGGTGGACGTGGCGAGGGCGGGCACCACGCCATCGGGCTCTCGCCTCCTCCGACAACTGACCCCAAGCCTCCTTCCCGGGTCGCGCTCGAAATAAAGAATAATTCGCCGCGGCGGGATGTGTAGGGGACCGAGAGCGATGTGTCATGTGTGTCCTTGCGTTTCTTCAACAAGGCTGCTCAAAAAGAAACCCCGAGGGAAATGGAGTGTGTGTATCGCGCGGAATGAGCGATAGCCCCGCGAGGTACGAGCGGGGCGGTAGCCTTTCTTCACATACTGAGCTCAGCAGTCACGAGAGATGAAAGGGGTGCCAGCACCCCGCGCATGATAGGGTGCCCACAGGACCAAAAGAAAATAGCTTTCCGCCTCAAAAAGGGACGCACGAGGCAAATCTGATGTTGGATTGTTCCAATAGGAGCGAGGCCTCTTCCGTTGGGGGACCGAGCACATAAAAATAAAAAATTAGATGTTCTTACGTTGAGCCAGTAGCAAACATCCTTGGCCATTCGTGGCCCCTTGCGTCGTGCGGACGCCGAGACCAGCACCTCCTCGTACCCGTTGACTGCAGGTGCCGTGATGGCGTCGTCCGTTGAAAGCGGAGGCATGCGTGAAAGCGGAGGCACGCGAAATAAAAAGCGCTGCTCGTCAAGATGGCGGCGGTGGCGATTGCGGCGACAAAAGTAGTGTCGTCGCTCAGGCGTCTGTTATCTGTCGTCTGTTGTCGCATTTCGCACACGCGCGCGCCGCGCGACCCGCGTCGCTCCGCGAGGGCATGAGCCTTCCGCGATTCGATCCCGCAGCGGCCGACTCTACCATCGCGGCCGCAGCTGTTGAGCTCTCCAGAAGACTGGTGCCTCATATGAGCTGCCTCCCTGCGGATGCTGCCGGCGAGCCGGGCGGTCCTGTACTACAAGGAAGTGCTGACTCATTTCTACCTCGAATTCTTCTACCCCCGCGACCCCACGAACGAATGTGACAGGACCATCGGGTCCTTCAGCCACCAAAGTGAGATCACCCGAGAGCACGGCTGAGCCTGCCTCTGGCCTCGCCTCCCTCTCCTTCAGGCATTCGTGGCATCCTATGGGTCGTCCAGAGTATCGACCTCTGGCTTGTCAGTCGCGGTCACTTGATGACCCCCATGAAGTACAGCGATCGCCACCTCGCTGGCCTCTCCGCAAGGCCCCCCGACCGCGTCGAACTCATCGGCGCGGGCTCTCTCGGCTACGGGACCGGCCCCAGCTTCGGCTGTGGCGGTGGTGGGCTGAGGGCTAACAAGCTAGCTGCCGAGCCCAAATCACTGTGAAGCGTGATTTCTTGTTCGCGGTCAAAAATCTCTCTCAATGAGGTCAACATCTTGTAAGATCATCTTCGGCCGCATCTTGGCCCCCCCCCCCTCCCCCCCCCCGCCCCCTGCCCTCCCCTCCTGCAATGCTCGCCT